TCCACTGTCAATATAACTCCAATTTACAAGGTTTCTCTCAAGGCCATTAAATTATTTAGAAGATCACCTTTTGCAATAACCTTTGTTCAGGGTCATCATGGAGTATAGTGCTTTCATGATGAGGGACAAAAACTAAGGTTGAGGTTTCGAGGAACTGTAAACTCACCCTGTATCAGACATTTTTTTCTTCACGACATATAAAAAGTTAAGGGTTAAAATGAAACTTTTGCAGAGTATAACGGTATATAACATTTTATATAATTTAGATTCTTTTATCTAAATATCAATATACATTTTTTCTTAAATTTGGCTGATGAAGATGGATCTGAGATGTGGGAGTTGAAGGCAGATAGCTTTCAAGAAAGACAAGTGAGGGTCATAAAGGACCACACAGCTGGTTACCAATGCCATCAAATATTATCTCTCACTCTCTTCACACCATAAAGAAATTATAGGTGTGATTTCACCACACTACCCCTTCCCCTTTAATTGTTAATTTCCATGCTTTTTGGATATGGGATTTTGTTAGGATCTATTTTCCCCTTTACTTTATTCTTTCTTTCAGGTGCGGATGTTTTTAAGTTTTGCAAATAGTTTTTAAAAGAGTTCCAATGCCTTTTTTATAATATATATATATATTTAAAATGATGTGATAGTGTTTAATTACTTTCCAAAATTTTTTGCGTTCGATTTCTTTTAGTTTCACTCTAAAGATTTCAAACAAATAAATAAATTATGGTCCTCGTATTAATGCATGGACATTCATTTAAAAAAATATTTAATTTGCCTTTCCAAAAAAAAAAAAAACAAGAAAAAAGTTTGATTGTTAAGGAGTTTGAAATTTAATATCATATACACGTCTACATATTCACACAAGTGGGAAGCATGTCTTGTAATATTCTTGATGATTTTCCATGGGGGAATTTGTAGGGAATGGGGTTCCCCTTTTGGGAAGTTATTTTCGTTATACTATTTTTCTTGTAAATATGTGTAATTTTTATTTTCATGATTTTTATATATCTGTAAATTAATATTTAATATAGAGAAAATACTGATAAAACCTTTATTGAAAAGGTAACATATGCTTATACACTCCAAATTTCTCGTTTTCATTCCTCTCTTACCATTAAACAAGTTTAATCTTATGATTATATTTCTCAATAGTAATGTCTCCAAGAGATAACTTGGTTGGTTTGGACCTCAAATAATATCCTACAGAGTATGGGGACAGTACGTAAGGTCAAAGGGCTGCCGACTCCCACATAATAATTAATAAAAAAAATCTATACTAGTGATATATAATATGTTTATAACGTCCATTCAGTGTCAATTACCGCTGAATTAAGTCCATATTAGCCAAAATTTTGAGACGGATTAAATCATAAACCAAGGATACTAAAATATCTAAAGTTGAAAAGACATAGGTCTCTACACGAGGCACGGGAAAAATCGACACCTCGCAAGACCGGGGGGCCTATAAAGGATGTAGGTGTATGATCAAGAATAGTAATAAGGAGGATGTATATAGTGTTAGGTAGGCAAGTGGTGGAGTCCTATATGCATCGTCCCTTGAAGTGGTAGTGCCACTTTCTACTTTATGCAATAAAGAATCTATCTTATCGCATGCAGCCTTCAAGTTAATGGCAGTGAGGCTTCAAAAAAGCCCCCCCGCCCGCTCGCCCGCCCTCTCCCATTCCCCACGACGTGCACTTGCACTTGCAGCATCTTCTCGTACTCACTCACCAGTACAATTCCTAGCTATATCATCAATTTTCCAAGTTCCAACCTTTAATATCAGCTTCAGATGTTTGTATACTTTCGTCTTTCAGTCTCATTCCCATTTTCTATTTATAGTCTCTAAACTTTATGTGCTGACACAGATAGATTCGGAAGCCAGTAAAGGGAAAAAATGTGTGTGAAAAGGATCGGGTAGAGATTAGTGAAAAAAAAAGAAAAGAAAGTATGTGTGTGGATAGAAACTGGTGAGAGAAAGCGTGCGTAGAGAGAGAATATTAGGGAACAAAAAATTGTGTAAAGAGAAAGTTAGTGAAAGAAAAAGCCTCTAACGTGGGGACGAGGGATCAAACTTCCGACTTCGTGAAAAGGAGTAAGGGTTGGAATTATTGTAAATACTTTACAAAAATGACATAAATGTAAGTATTGGGATTGGTGGAGCCAAAACGACGTAGGAACGAGCTAGGGATGAGTCGGGATGCATTGGGACGAAGTAGGGATGAAAAAATAGGTGAATAGGGCTCTACAGACCAACTAGGCTGAAGAGGCAGCGCGAGCGGCTTTTGTCCGTCCGTAGCGCCATGGCTCTGTGTCGATGTCTATAAATTCGTAGTTTTGAGTTTTAGGGTTCTATGAGTCGTGAGGTTTGATTTTCCAACCGATTTTCATCGGGTTTTTGTGGCAAATTCGAGGCGGCGGCTCCGGGTATTGGCATTACACGTTGGGGAGATCAAGATCATCATTGTTCGGGTTATTGTATCTTGATTCTTGTGAGTTTTCATTCCTGTAACTAAGTATTATTCGATTTAGAATACTTAGAAGCTAGGGGCTTTGTTGGACTTCGTGTTTGGATAATCTCATGGAAGAGAAAATTATTCAGGACCATTAATTTCCTAACGGTAAGAACATGTATATGTGATAAAAAAGGTATAGAAATGATATATTTTATATTAGTATATCAATGATACAAGAATGATATATCAGTGGTAAACTTGGAAAAATGACATACAAACAAGATACTTTATATTAAATGATACACTTTATCAATTATATAAAAATGATATATTAGTGACATATGAGAGAGAAGAAATTTCATATCACATAATTATTTTATGTGTGACAAATTTGTAAATATGACATTCAATTTTGTGGCCAATTATAATTCTTCTTCTAAGTCGACTTAGAGAAGAAAGTACAAGGAAGGTATTTTAAGTTATAAATACTTGATTTCATTAGGGAGAAAAAATGACGTTGGAATAACTAATATCTATCTTTGTTTAAAATACATTTACCTTCATATATATCATCATAGAACTTTGTATAGTAGAGTAAATTTCCAAAGTTGCTCCCTACATTATTCTTATTATATATATTTTTTAGAATCATTAATCTTTGTGTATTAGAAAATTCTATACATTTTATTCTTGGAGTCAATTTTCTTTTGTTAATAATATTACAAAATCTAGGGATGAAATTTAAATTATTTTATTACTTCTGCAAATAATAAATAAAATATTAAAGATACATTAGAAAATTTACCCTTCAAGCTTCAATACTTTTAACTTTTGAAGTAAATAATATTATTCAAGCTTACCCATTAGTATTAAAATGTGTGTCATCAATTGATATCTCTATTTATTCCCTCCTAAAGTTTAGAGATTAAAAATAAAATGTTACAAAATTAAAAGATTAACATAGGTTAAACATCAAAATTTATGGAACCCCTTTGAACCTTATACTTAAAACAAGTTTAGGTAAAAGGGATTTGAAATTGATTTAAAATTTTTAGTCACATTCCTTAATTTCTAACACATGCTATATTTGTAATTTTTTTAATTGCTTATGCGACCAATTTGATTTTGAAACTGGGCCAATTGGACCATACAATTGAATTTGTAACATTGGGCTGTTTACCAATTTAGATTCCTTTTTCATATTTCTGTTAAGTAATCAACTCAATTTTTAAACTCCATTGTTTTGGAAAATGCCATTGAACCTTAAACTCCATTGTTTCTGAAGGACAACCTCTTTGTAGTTAAACTGAATCCAGTGTAAAGTAATTTTGGAGACATTAGTTTTTCAAATAGGATAAAATGTTGTAATTAAATGAATTTTTTTGCGTATATTTTATTAAAAAAATGGTCGCTAGTAGGTTATATTGCACATGATATTTCAAAAATCTTAAATCCTTTTAATATTTGAATTAAAATAGTGTTTGGAATAGTGAAACAGTCACTAAAACGATCGAGAACATAAAACCTCGACCTTTGCATGAAATTGCATGAACAAGAAATGAATAATCAAATGGCGGTAAACATAACTTTTAGTGAAAATGAAAACAAAAACAGAATGAGCTGAACAGTTTTGATAATTTTAGTAATTAAAATTCAAATGGATGAGAATAATGGAATTTAAAACTTTCTATCTTTGTTAAATAATAAATAAAAATATTAGATGAGGGCATGTTTCTTTTTAGATATTTATTTATTTATTATATATATATATATATATTTAAAAATATATTATCATGGACAATTTTGGTAACGTACATATGAGTTTCATTTTAAACAAGTCTATATATATTTTGATAAAATTGTAAATATTTGTGATTATAGACACTTTTCTAAATAGTATATTAAAAATGGACAAAACGAAAGTAGTTCTTCAATAATTGACATATATTTTCATCCAAAAGGGGGTAAGTTCCATCCCCACCTCTACATATTATACTTTTAAAAAAATTAGTAGGTTAAAAATGAGGTAATTGGATACTGTTAAGTTGTAAGATGTGCTTATTGGGCCGATTATTATGGATCATGCTGGAACTGGGCCCAAGGCCGACACCATGTTTAGAGCCCACGTGGGAGTTTCCAGAAGATATAAGTCCCTTCTACACGCAAATGAGCCGAGTGACTTCCGGTTCGGTTTTAACAAACCGAGGGTTTCCACCATGTTGTTTTCACCTCCCTCCGGCATTGCTCAGTCGTGTAATTTATGCAGGAAAAATCTAGAGGGCAAAGCATATATTTGTATAGGTAAAAACAAATTCCCCTTCTCTTCTTCTGGAATAAGGATTTTGGAACTTATTTTGATTATGAGCTTCCAAGATCTTGTTTAGTTCTTTCTCTCTCTCATATTATGGGTAAATAAACTGAACCGGTCCGAACCTCAATTAAAGTATCCATACGGCTCGAACCTAAATCGAATCGAACCGATCGGTTGATTTTTTGACCCTAAGCCTTGCGCTGCGCTGTCCCCCTCTTCGATCAGTTCATGACCCACCGCACCCCATGACCGAGAAACCCTTACGACCCTCGATTCCATAGTCGACCATTGCATTCGAGCTTGCGCTCCGGCCCTTATCCGATCGGCATCGGCAATTGCACGAAAACGCTCCCTCTCACTGTTTATAATTGCTCAAATCCAGAGTCTCATCGCCAGTTGCAGGAACCAGAAGAACCTCCCCTCTCTCTTACACGGTATTTTCCCATCAAATCTCGCATTCTCGATTCTTTCCGCTGTAGGATCGCTAAATCTGTAAACTCGACCACTGCTTATTAGTTTGATGAATAATGAAACCGGTGGCTGCCATTTTGATTGAGGGTTTCATGTATTTTGCGTTTTTTTTGAAGCATATGGCATTCGGTTGCCATGTGAACTTAATCCATATAGTGTTATGATTTGGGTTTCCTTTTTTTCTTGGTCCTCTCAATCCCCTCTCTCAACTCGATTTTCACTTCAGCATCGTTCTCCTTTTGGGTCGACGAAACCTAGGGGTTAAATTTCGAATACCCGAATATTTCTTCTGAATTATTTTTCCATCTATTTCTTTGATCCTCAGGAAGTCTAATTTTAGCCGGCTATTAGGGTTGTGTTCTTCGCGATTACACTAAATGGAGGACCTGCCTCTACCGTCAATTTTCGAACAGGCGAGGAAGATTCATACGGCTGCAACTGAGTCTGCGTCTGATCAGGTATCTTTATCGTACGAGTTTTTTCAGTGGTTTCTGGTTTTGAGTGGTTTTAATTTCCTCTTTTCTTTTGAGAAATTTAGGATGTTGTGAGGAAGGGTTGTGATGCATTAAGGAAGTGCGAGGATATGATTGGAAAGCTGGGCTTGTTCTCAGCTAACGAGACTAAAGATGATATTAGCACCGGAAATATTAAATATATTCTGGTAAGTTATTTTAATTTATTTTAATTTTATTCCTTTCTACTTTCTTTAATGTTTTGTATTCGAAGGTTAGCACAGCTTCCACAAACCCGCCACGGTTGAACTAGAAAAACTAATCAACATAGACATTGAACTTGTGATACTTCGCATCTAGGAAATTAAAAGTTCTCCCTTTGTTGTTCTACATTGATAGTAAGTAATTTAAAACATGAAGTAGCACTATATGAGGGCGAATTAAATTGGCCCGGTCTTGTGGTTCGGAATTTGGTATGGACATACTTCATATTAGTAAGAGATGCTAATCTTTTTTTAATTTCCTGTCATAGTATTGGGAAGCTTATTTTATTATTATTACTACTATTATTTTATCATTTTCCCAACTTGAGCAGACATGCATCTTCTTGGCAATAGATTGGGGGCTACTCGCTATAATTTTGAGGATAAGATAATGGATGTTACATCTAGTTGATTTAAAAACTTTCATATCTTGGTGAGTAGATATATGTTTCTTGTTAGAATCTCTGGTATTGATGTTGAACAAAAAAGTAATTTGAAAACTTGAGAGAATGGGATTAGGTATGAGGCATTTGCTTAGCCTTTTGGCATATGGCTTTCTAATGCTCCATTTTGCTTAAGTAATTTAGAGGGGGAACTAACAAAATAATCTATTCATAGAATCCCAAATAGGCACCTGAAGAACAATGTAATACCAAACCTCCCTAACTTCTCTCACCTGACCCTCTATTGTTCTTTTTTTTCCATCTTCCCAATCCCTAGTTACAAAGAGTTTACAAAGTGGATTTTGATCACATTTACTTGTGTTTGCGGCTCTTGACCATCTTGCACTGGAACTGATTGATTGTGTTGGTGATAACCCATGGAAGCCAAGTTTTGGAGAGAAAGTACCCTCATAAATTCCTAATGATAGCAATTAATAAACAAGTAGTATAGATCTTTGCCACTATATTTTTCAGATAAGTTTTTCTTAAAAAGGAAAGAAAAATAGTCAAGTCTTTGCGATTTTATGTTCACCATCGTTTTTAGACTAGAGTCATGAAATTGTTTTGCATATAATATATTTTTTATCCCCTCCAGTTTCATTTCATTTTGCTTCAGATTTATCAGTTGCAGTTATTGTGAATTGTGATTGATATTTCTTTTAAGTAGGTGGTTTTCATGTCTTCACTACAATGACCAGAAAAACCATATATTAAGTTTCTGATAGTTGTTCCCTGCAGGTGCCATTTTATCTTGCTGAGTTGACTGAGAAGATTGCACAGGATGACAGGATACAGATCCTCAAGGCTTCCCAGGCAAAATTAAAGGTGAGAGCTGTCTACAATCTTTCCTCTGAGTAACATAGTTCATATTTCATGGTAAAACAAATTATGTGTGGATGGATGAATAAATTTAAGTCTTCATGGTTAAATTTTGGAACCTAAATTATTGACACCTCTCTAGGAATTCATATCATTTTGCGAAACTATGGAACTGGTGCCAAAAGAGGAGCTAGAAACATCTAGTGATGGAAATTCACTTGCAGATCGAAGGGCTCGAAAGGTAAAATCGTGACACAAATTTTAAGCCATTCATTTCTTGCATAATATTAGATGTATCTTAATATCGTGGATGGAATTATAGTTGTATTCTTGCACTTATTATTTAGAATTTGTTTCTAGATTGCTAGGTTCAAACGTCAAAAGGCTGCTGAATCGAAGTTACTTGAGATAAAGGAGCGAAAAGAGCGTCGTGGGCGTTCAAGCAAAGCATCTGCTTTGTCTGCTCCTATAGAGGCAGGAGAGGAGGATGTGCTGGATGATGATGGAGAGGAAGAGCGTGAGGTTGGTTATTTTGATTGTAGAGCATTAAATTCCCATTTCTCTGTTTCCACTGTTGTAGGCTGTAGGGTATTTTTAATTTGGTTAAACTAATGAAAGTTGTAACAAGCAGCAGTACAAGGGGACTCCACATTCTTTTTTTTTGCAAAGGTTAAATTTCATTTTAAGGAAAATTGAGACTTGAACTTATAACGTGAGTGTTGACACTCAAACATCTTACCAATGTGCCAACATCTTGGGATCGGGACTCCGCATTTGCTGTATAAGATAGTCCACATTTTTCCTGAAAATAAGAAGGCGAATGAGACGAGATGTATGGTGACATGATTAATGTATTTCCAGCATTAGCTGCACTCTGGATAAAATCACTTGGAAAACCAGATAGCATTTCTTTCATCTCTTATTCCACTTTTTATGTGTATTGTCTGTAATGGTTCATTACATTGCGGTCTGTCATGGTTCGCTACATTGTGTTCTTTCTTTGATGCAGGCTTGGATTACGACCATCACTTTGGCAATCTGCAAGGTCAGTTGTGCAAGAATTATTTGACATCTTCAAGTGTTGTTACCTCTAGTTGGACTCACATTTTCATGGAATGTTATATATACAGGCTTTTGATCTACTAGAAATGCTGAAAAAGGAGGAAGAGATGCTCTCTTCTATAAAGGAAAAACAAGAAAAGGTAGGAAGCCAACTTACTTTAGACTTGGTGTTAACATGCTAATCAGAGGCATTTCATGTTCTGTTTGTGCCATTCACTTTATCGTTAATTTGTGTTATGATGTGTTAAATGAATGTTATTTTCACGTTTCTATGGACTTGAGAATTTAATTGGAGAAAATATTTTATTGTCACGAAAGTTTTTGGCTTGTCAGGCAGTATACTTCCAGTGCAGCATAAAATATGAGGTTGTGTGAGAGGTCTAAGAGCATTTGTTGTTTGCCATATATGTCAGGATGGGGACAAGGACTTCTCTCAAGAGATTCTTGATTATCGTATGAAAAGAGCAGAAGCTTGGCATCGTGATGGTGTTGTGAGAGCACGATATTCGAAACCAGCGGCACCAATCACTTGTGCAACTTTTGCCCAGGATGTTTTAGAAGGGAGAGCAAATGTCTCTCAAGCACATGAACACAAACATCAGCCTCTCATATTTGGACCAGCAAGTCTTGTAAATGGATCCCTTACAAGTGAGAGGGAGAGGTTGGCTGCCCAGGTTTTCCAACCTGGCTTTAGGTACGTATATGTGCTCGTTTGTTATAAGTCTATCCAACTAGATTTTTTGTTATGGCTTGTACCCTGTCTACTGTTTGAGGAGGATGTTGAGTTCTCTCTTTTCCCATTGTACGTTATAATTTTGATGAATACTAATATAAATGAAGTTGGAAATTGAAATTGAAGTTTTGGGTAGGAAAAACTATATTGTGCGGTTTTATTATTGTTGTACCCTGTCTACTGTTTGAGGATGATGTTGAATTATTTTTTTTCCCCATTATGTGTTATAACTTTGATGAATACTAATATAAATGAAGTTTGAAATTAAAATTGAAGTTTTGGGTAGGAAAATTGATGTTGTGCGGTTTTATGATTGTTGACCCTGTCTACTGTTTGAGGAGGATGCTGAGTTTTTTTATTTTTTATTTTTTTATTTTTTCCATCATGATGTGTTATAACTGATGAATACAATATAAATGAAGTTGGAAATTAAAATTGAAGTTTTTGGGTAGGAAAAACTATATTGTGCGGATTTACAATCTACATGGTTAACTCAATTGGGTTGAATTTTTTGTGGAAGGTTACCAACCATGAGCATTGAGGAGGCTGGGCTGAGGGAGATGGAAATGATGAACAAATGGCAAGAGAGGACTACCAAGTTCATAGAAGAAGCAAACTCTGCATGGTACAAGGACAGTCGAAAGCCAGGGCCGAGTGAAGAGGAGGACGACGAAGATGATGATGCTGCTCAGGATAAGGCGCGGGCATGGGACGACTGGAAAGACGAAAATCCTCGGGGTGCCGGAAATAAGAAGCTTACGCCCTGTGGGTAGGAAGGGCTGTGATCAGCATTCTATGAATTTGGGGTCTGATCCTACATACTTGTTACAGAATCCTTGTTTATTTAAGGGTTTAAAGTACAGAGTTATGTTATGTGTAGTTTGATTGCTTTCGTGTAGGTTGGATGGTAACTTTTGTACAATGTCTACCTTTTGGTCATAATCGAATAATTTACTGCCAGGTACATGGAATCCCATTATTAGAAACTGCCAGCCAATGTTGTACTATAATATACTATTAATATCTACTGTTACGTAACCATTCATTATTTTAACAGTTTGTTTGATAACTCATCTCTTTTTTACTTTGTCCGGTGATGTTTTGACAAGAAAAACTTTTTAACTACAACTACGGTTGAACTTCGACTGCAATTATTATCCAACGAATCACATAAATTCCTCATTGGTTAGCTTTCATGGATCTTTCTAGCTAGGTCAACATCCAATTAATTCTCATGCCTAAAATGCCCCTGAAGTTAATGTAAAAATGACCTTCCTGCCCTTTAAGTTAATGTGACAATGACATGCGGATAGGTGAATTCTTAATGAACTCTTGCTCCAACGCAAGAAGTATGAGGGTGAAATTGAAATGTAGTTAATCTAAATAAACAAAAAACAAGTCTTCCCAAGGTGAAGAAGCATCCATAGACCAATTGTTTGCAAGCAAGTTTAGATGACATTGACAAAATCCCAATTTCATGTTCTGAAAGAAGGTTTCAGAATATTAGCCAAAGCAGAGACTCTGTTTTTATACGCAATTTAACAGCAGTCTCCATCCATAGAGTCGGTATAAACAGAAGTCGATTGCTTTGTTTTTTTCTTTTTGAGATCCATACATGATGTGTAGGAAATAAATTAAGAAGAAACCCAGAAATATTACCAGGAAAGTAAAAAATATACAAACTTGAAGCTTACATCAATCAATCAAACTCCCTTTCTCTGAAAACCAGGAATTTCCCGTGAAGCACTTGTCTTTGGTTTACAACCCTGCCCTCTGTGTTTATCTCATGATTCTCATCCAAATGGCCATTTCTGCCAGTCAAGGATTGAAACCCATTAAAACCCAGGGAAGTTCAGCTCTCAATGCATTGAAATCCCCTGCAAACCCACAGCCATATGGCGAACAAAACCAGACACACAAACAAATCGATGGACAAAACAACCCACACATGTTTCTGCCATATTTGCTTTGCTTTCTGACGCTCGGCAATATGTGAACCGTTCTTTTGCATCAGCAATGTGATATCTCTACTTCCTAAACCATTCATGTCATCATAAGGATCCGCAGAATCATCCATGGTTGTTGCATACTTTCCTCCTTCGCCATTAGCATCTCCAACCACCTTCTTCTTCTTCTTCATCAAGTTACTGGGATTTGAGAACTTCGATATGAACGGTATCTGCTTTCTTATACTTGAATCCACGCTCGGCCTCAATACGCCGGACGACGTCGATAAATTCCCCGACGTGTTCAGATTGGACCCTAGAATCTGCCGGAAGATAGAATCGAACTGCGCCTGAAAGCAATAGGGGGTGAAATTGTCGAAACCATTGAGCAATTCGCTCTCGATGAAGTCCGTGAAAACACGCTTTACACGGTTTAAGAAACCAGAAACCTCCGATTTGTAGAGGTCTTCATGGAAGATTCCGAAATAAACGAAGGATTCTTCAATCAAAAAGGCGTACGCTCTGTTTCGGACGGTGTGGGAGAAGGTGGAGTGATTAGGAGGGGCTTTCTCGATGCATCTGAAAGCTAAGTCATCGAGATTTGATTCTCTCGTAAATTCCGCGAGGATTACGGTTCCTCTGGCAATGCAGGCATAGAAGACGAGATCTGGATTCGAAACCATTCACGGATTCAAAAAGGAGACCACGGCTTCGATATATTTACAGAATCGGAATTCAGATTTCTCCAATTCGATCGAAGAGAAATGTCAATGTGAGACCACAGAATCCATCCACCAAATCCACAACAGAAACCAGGTATCACACATCAACTCTGCCTCACACACATTCTCTTTTCCCTCGACCAGAATCCAATAGAGTTTCTTTCGAATTCGAAGCAAAAATTATGTATAAGAATCTCTTCCGCAAAAATCTCTCTCTCTCTGTGTCTAGGGTTTGGATTTTCTGTTGCAAGATGAAGAAGATGAAACAGAAAAACGATGGACACCGTGGCATTCACCCCCATTAAGAGCACATATTACGTA